CCATGACAATTTCATGATTTCCATGACCAGTGGCAACCCTGTTTTAAGATTATTAAACAATTTTGAAATATTTAATATTTTGAGATTATTAAACAATTTAAGCAAAAATAAAAACTTTGGTTAAACTCCTATGATTAGTATATATTTGAAATTTATTATTTGGACTTTAAGAGAAATGTTCACATTTCTAGTTATTATTTTAAATTCATTTAATTCAAAAAAATTCATTTCATTCATAAAAATTAATTAAAATTTAATTAACTATTTTTTTTCTTTCTGACTTTAAAATCAGAGAAAAAATTATGATAGCTAACTACGCTTATTCCACTAATCAAAAATATTCTGTATTTTTGCTTATTAAGTAATATTTTTAATCTTTTTTAATATTGTAAAAATTGTTATGGTCTCGAAACTATTTTTATTCCAATAATCAAAAACACTTAGTTACTAACAATAATTTTAGGTTTTTGCAAATTAAAAGAACACAATGTTTTTAAAAACATTCAGAATGTTTTTAAAAATATTGTGGTCTTTTAATTTGCATTTTTGTGGTTTTTTCAAAAAGCATTAAATTTAATTTGTTTCCTCGATTAAATTAATGCAATTTGTTATAATCAAACCTTATTTTTGCCAGTCTAAATACCTTAAACAATCGAAGAGCTGTTTTTTTTTTTACAACAAACTGTATATCTAAGCCCTTTACTATAGGTATACATATATATATATATATATATATATATATATATATATATATATATATATATATATATATATATATATATATATATATATATATATATATATATATATATATATATATATATATATATATATATATATATATTTATATATATATATATATATATATATATATATATATATATATATATATATATATATATATATATATATATATATATATATATATATATATATATAGTATTGTTATTGAAAGAATACATCATGTTTAAGCATGGTTTTTTTCAAGTCTTTAAAATGTGTTTTAAATTTTAGTAAATAATTGTTTTTAATTATAAATATGTGTTTTTTATAATAAGTAAAAATCTATCGTATAACTATTTTGAAAAAAATTGCTTAAATAAAGTTTGTGTTCATAAAAATTTTAAGCAAACGCCAACGTTTGCATATGAAAAAATATAGAATTGCTACATTCATTTTTCTGTCTTTTTTTTTTAAAGTTTGCATGTAGGTAGATTTGTCACACCATGTTTGTTACGTTAATATTAATAGTGCTATTAAATGGTGTTAAATGGTATTTAATTAAGAGTCAATATACTATAATAGATAGTATTTATATTTGTATTGACATACAATCAACATGAAAATTAAGTAACACAAAAATGCTTAACCTAGCAAAAGAATTCAAAACACATAACAGAAAAATTGTACAACCAGGGTTATTAGCAGAGCTTAAACATTGACAACAAAATAGATGATTTCTTATTTAAAGAATTTAAACATTTTAATATTAAATCCCTGGGGAAAAAAAATTGTTTAAACTGATCCCATTTATTAGAACAACAGATTTCATTGAGTTTCTGAGCAAATAATAGATAAAAAAGGAGCCTATCCTCAAAACTAGATTATGAAAATTTCCATTAATAGAAGTGATTAACTTTTAAGACTTTATTTTTGAATGTGCAACTTTTTTTTTAAGCAAGCATAATTTAATATAAATTATTTAGGTTCGTTTAAATGTTGTTTCAAATCCTAGTAAAATAATTAAAAATAAAGAGAAAGTATGGAGATATTAAATAATCAAAATGTGGATAAAATGGTAAAATGAATATACCAACAGAAGTTTAATATAAACTTTTTACAATATACTGTTTTTAATACCAACCCGAATATAATATTTTGTTTTGACAACTTGGCCATGGATCCTGGCATGTTAAGTTAGCATTTAAAAAAAATCTGGAGAATTAGCAAATGTAAACTTAAACTAATATTAAAAATAAATAAACTACAAACTATAAAGAGAAACCATAAATATATATATATATATATATTTATGGTTTCTCTTTATAGTTTAATATATATATATATATATATATATATATATATATATATATATATATATATATATATATATGTGTATATATATATATATATATATATATATATATATATATATATATATATATATATATATATATATATATATATATGTGTGTATATTTATATATATATATATATATATATATATATATATATATATATATATATATATATATATATACATTATTTAAAATGCAGACTTTACCTAAAACCCTAAATGTGTTCTATATAATAAAATAATACTGGAATTGAAAAATCTTCAGAAAAAAATGTTTTTAGGCTAGAGTCTCTTAAACATCAGACAAGCCCCTAATATTATCAAGAAAAAAAGTTCTTTAAAAGTATAATATATTGGGTGTCTCAAAAGAAACCTGATTTTACAAATTTTTTAAAAATAATCATCATTTTATAAAAAATTATAATCATCATTTTATAAAAAAAATATTATTTTAGTTTTCACTACATAGAAAATAACATTTTTTAACTAAAAATAGAAAATTTGCATTTTTACAAAAAATTTTTGTTATAATTTTTTTCTCTTAATGTTTTTTATAAAATAATACCAACATAATATACTTTTGAAGAACTTTTTTCCTTGACAATATTATATATATATATATATATATATATATATATATATATATATATATATATATATATATATATATATATCGAAATAACGAACTGACCAGGTAAAAAATATTTTGTTTTTACAACTTTACCACGCAATTTGTAAGATAAATTATTTAACAAAAAGAAAATCTCAAAGAAAAAGAAAATAAATAAAAGAAAAATAAAAGCAAACACACTTTATGGACAACCCCTTAATTTTATAAGCACTTTTAATAGCAAAATTTTTTAGTGCAAAAACAAAGATTTCATGACAACTCAAATTTAATAGTGTAATATAAAGTACTGGTTTCTCTAAGCATTAAAATAAATGTTACACTGAAATTTTTATAAAATAAATTTAAAAGCTAAAATATTTGTGTGAAATTTATAAAAACTATCGGACAAAAAATAAAATTAATACTAAACTATAAATTTAAAGTAATAACTAATTGCAACGTTTTAATATAAATAATAAAAACCAAATTACTTAATTCAAAAAAATGTAATGCTTTGGTATCTTTTAAAAAATGAATTAACTCAAAAAAATAACATATTTTATTAATGTAGCTGTGTGTTAAATGAAAAGTTCAAAAGATAAAGTTTATAGAAAATACTGAAATTATTAATTATTTTGGAACAACTAAAATGATTAGAAAATAAATGCGCATAAAGTATGGGTCAGACAAAATGACCGATAGATGTCAATTTTTACCAGACAAGTGCTAGACAATGTGCAATATCTGGCGCTAATTTCGAGCCCCGCATATATGTATTTACAGGAACAATATACATATATAAATATATTTATCAGTTTTCTCCGTTTAGCCAGTCTTTTTGCGCTCGCCCACACGCCCAAAAAAACTTTGACGATCGCACAAAAAGCGCCTTCAAAAAAAAAAGTGTTTTGTTTTAAATTGCAACAAAACTTTTTTCGTTTATTTGTTCGTTTTTTACAAAATGTAGCCTTTTTTCACAAGTTTTTATTTTATTTAGTAATTTTATCTAGTATTTATTAAAAGAATTCTTTACGTTATTTTTATTTTAATTTAAATAGCAGAAAAAAATAAATTTTTTAAATTCCGCAGGCTAACTTAAAAATGACCATCCTGCCAGCACCTTTTCGTGCGCTGGTATTAAATTTCAAAAAGAGAAGACTGATATATATATATATATATATATATATATATATATACATATATATATATATATATATATATATATATATATATATATATATATATATATATATATATACACATATATATATATATATATATATATATATATATATATATATATATATATATATATATATATATATATATATATATACACATATATATATATATATATATATATATATATATATATATATATATATATATATATATATATATATATATATATATATATATATATATATATATATGTATATATAGAACCTGAAGTCCTTAGGTATAATGACGGCAAGAACTCTGTGACTCCAGGACTCTGGGCTTAAAAATAATAAGTTTCAAGTCATTAAATCTCATGAATTTTTTCTTATAGCAGATTATAAATCAACAAACATGTTTAGAGCTTCTGGACACTACAGACTTGGAAAAAGTAGAGATATAAAGCCGCATCCCTGTGACAATTAATTTAATACTCTCTCTCTCTCTCTCTCTCTCTCTCTCTATATATATATATATATATATATATATATATATATATATATATATATATATATATATATATATATATATATATTTTATATCTATATATATATATATATATATATATATATATATATATATATATATATATATATATATATATTTTTTTTCCTTGATTCAATTTAAGGTTACCCAAAATCAAATCAAAACGATTAGACTTAGATTCTCAAGGAAAAAAACTTATTTATTTGCAAAAATATACACAATAAAAAAAACACACATTTGAAGTATGAAGAGAAGTTCATAAAATGCAGAATGAAATTCTATATGACGTGTACAATATACAACTTACTTCAGTTACCTAAGTTTAATTAAGAGCCGTTTCCCTAATATTTCCATGACATAACCTAAATTTCCTGTTTTTTTTTTACAAATATCTAAAAATGACATTTCCCTGATTACCCTGATCTGGCAGACACACTTCTTTAATACATTGACTGAAGTTTAGGGTCTGAAAAAGTATTTACACATAAAAATCTATTAAGATCAAAAAATTCTGAAAGATATATGAGCACCAGGATAAATTTAAATATAAAGTAGTAAATAATAACCATTCATATATGAATCAATAAAGTAAATTTTTAAAAACTATACTTTATGTAATACTTTTGACCAGAAGCAGTTGTTCTCATTTCACATCCTGATGGTAAATAATTTGATTCAAGAGTACCATAAGATTGTGTTCTTTGATGACTTGGGGTAAGTAAAAAATTATTTTGTGGATGTTGTTGTTGAAGTTGTTGCTGCTGTAAAATAACTTGATCCTGAGCAATCTGACCAATATTAGAAGGAAGTGAACGAGCTCTGGTGTGTATTGGAGCGGTTTGATCTGTCTCTAGAGATGGAGGAGGTCTAAAAAATGAAGCAGGTAACTTTCTGTCACGAAAAGGCTTAGATCTTGGTATATCCTTATTGGTTGAAACTGAATTTTTAAACAACTGTTCCAAGTCAGTGTCTGAGTCTTGTCGCACATGAAGAACAAAGTTACCCTGCCGTTGCGTAGAATTCATATCCATCAAAAATTTATTGTTAAAACTTTTATGTTTATTTCTAAATACTTTTAGTTATAAATATAAATATATTTATGTAAAATGTTTTTTATCTAACATTTCAGGCCATCCAAATTTTACGCCAGTATTTGATACGCGTTTATTTATTTTTATTTATGTTAAGTATACAAAAGACTCTGTTCTGGCTTTAAGTTTCCGTTTCATTTCTCGTCACAACTACACGGCACAGTGAACTCGAGGTGAGCAAAAATAAAAAAACGATTGTTAAAGCTTATCATTTTTTTTACTCAAAATCTAAAAGAATAAAAAAAACTCTTATTAAATTTATTTTTGATAAACTTAATGTTTATCATTTTAGTTTATTAAAAAATATATGAACTTTCAAAATCAATGTCGTTAAAATTAAATACAGACAAACCTAACTCGGATAATAATTTTTTTAAATCCAAGAAAAAGATATTAGTGGTAAAACAAGTTTTGGCGGAAGAGAAATGGATTCCCATCCTTAATGAGCAGGCGACATGACAACAATATGATACTCTTTAGCTTTTGGATGCAAAAGTTAGGTTTCTAAAGTAAAACAAAAGGTACAAAACCAACAATAAAAAGATTATTAAAAAGCCTTGTAGTAGACAGAGACGCCGGAAACATTTACCTTGCCCAAGAAATCTGATTAGCTCTATTATAGATATTGTTTTATTGGATCTATTACTTATAGATTGTGCTTAATTTTGGAATCTTGCGTCCCTGCAACCTGTTGTCAATAAGAAGTAACATTAAGGTTACAACAAATTAAAACTAGAAATCGTTTAGTTCTGAGAGAATAGTAAGAGTTTTTTTTATTTTCAAATTGTTCTTTAAGATCAAGTACACGACAAACGATGGTTTTTTATGTTAGTTAGTTTTTCTTTTTTTTCCCAAAAAAATCATTTAACACCATCAAGAATTTTAGTGTAATCTGTTTAGAAGAACGAAATTGTCTTCTTTCTTTTTAAACATTTACATTGGAAACGTTACATATTTATGATGTTTATTTACAAAACAAAATAATAAGGTCTGTATTACCTTTGATGGCACCTTTACTTACAGTTCTAAAGTAGTTGCGAATCTTCTATATAAAGCTTACTAAACTGTTTGTGTTTCTGTTAAAACGATCGAAATTTTCTTTGGAAATTTAGGATTAAGAACAACTTGAAAAGAAGTTCTGATAGGACTACAATTTTATGGTTTGACTTGTTGAGGAAATTTAAACTTCTACGCAATATTATAAATTCTAATAACCCGTAAATTAAGTTGGCATTGGTAATTTTTACTTTAAGTCCATTCAAATAGTTTTTAAATAGCTTTTTTTTTTTGTGCTTTTCAATAACTTTGAAATTCAAAAAAAATTTAACTGTACTAAAAAATCTTTTTTTGTATGTCGTCTATACTCCAGGAGAATTTTGCCTTGTTTAGACTTTAGAACTTTAGATAGAATTTGCTGTAGTGCAAACAGCGCAGCTGCATTCAACTTCTTCTTTGTTTTGATCTTTGAAATTATTGTAGTTAGACTTAAGCAATAGTTTTTTCTTATTTTTTCTTAAGATGAGGCGAAGCTATTAGGCAGGTTTCACAAATACGTAAATACCTACGTACGAATAAAAATAGGATAACATTTATGCCCAAACCTTTTAAGTTGAGAAAATAGAAATATTCCAAAAAAAAAAGTTTTCTTTACATAATTTACATTTTAAAATAAAGTAACATTTGGGATGTATGTATTGTAAGTGACTTGTGTATGGCATAGTATAACATGCCTATGCTCTATTATATTCAGAGTCGACCTAACCCTAATTTCCGCCCTCGCGCTAGTTTTTTTTTTTATAGCCCCTGACAATTTTATAAAACTTGCTTGTAAAATAAATGGAAAATAATAAAAAGTTAAATTCAAAAAAAATAAATTGCAATGAATGTTTAATTTACATACATCATAAAAGGGAACATTTTATTTACTTAACTTTTTTTTTTTTAATTTACAATTACAAAGTTACAACATGCGAAATATAAAAATTCCCGCACCAATTTACTTGCCGTGCTCATGAGGCGCACAAACTCCCCATCCCAAAAGCTGGTGCTGATTGTATTGTAATGCATAATATAACTTACATGGTATAATTATGGTACACTTAATATAACTTACATGGTATAATTTTATATTATATAAAATAATATAATCTGCAATATTTAGTCTGGGTTTACATGAATGAATAAAATCTAAGTTCTATGACTTGAGAATTTTTTTCTGAAAAGCTGTCCATGGTTTAATCTGATCGCTAAAGTTGAGAATCTGATCAAAGATTTCAGCGTATTATGATAAACAGATTCAAAGTTAAAATGTTAACTTAAAGTTAAAGTTAACACTTTAACTTTGAATCAAAATAAAAAGACTATGTTTACAATATTTTAAATAATTTAACATTAACTTTTCATGGTTCTGAATACAACATGGAATTGGTATTTTTCAAGTATTTTTTAAACAATGTTTTGAATCTGTTTATCATATTACATATTAACCTTTAATCAAAATCTCAACTTTTGCCACTACTTTAAGAAATATATATATTAAAAAGTTATTTTTTTTAAATTAAAATGTTTTTTATATACTTGATTAACTGACTAAGAAAAAATTATCAAGGATAAATTTTTCTAGGTTTGATAAATTTGGTTTCCAAATTTTTTTCAGCATAACTGCAATCCAGACCATCTTTATTATACTCTATGTTAAAAAGTGTTTATTTAAGTAGTAATTTAAGCAATAATTGTGACAACAATAAAAAGTGTTTATTTGCACTCTCGCGAAAAGTGTGGAGTTTTCCTCCACACCGGTGTGTGGCTATCACTCCTAGACACAACTGTGGAGTTATTTTGCACACTTTTGTGGAAATTAACTTTTTGTAACTCGACTTTTGCACAGAAGTGTGGAGTTAGTTGCACAAAACTGTGCAAGATAACTCTACACTTGCGTCTAGAAGTAATAGCTACACACTGGTGTGGAGGAAAACTCCACACTGTTGTGGAGGAAAACTCCACACTTTCTGCGAGTGTGTTGTCAGGTAGCAATAAAAAGTGCTGCCTGAGCACTTTTTATTGCTACCTATATTGCTATTACAAAGCACAATTCACTTCTGTGTTAAAAACATTTATTATTACTTTCAAACTGCAGTTATATTTGTAATACTAGGTAATAAATAGGTTATTACCAAGTATTACAAATATAACTTAATTAGGAGGTATTAGTTTTTTGACATACATTAAATCTTTAAATACCAGTTTTTTCACTGTTACGTAGTTATCTCAAGTGACGCGACAATTTTTTTTTTAATGAACTTCACAAATCTTTTCATTGTGCCACAGCTGTTAGATTAATTGTACAAACTGACATGATTACTTTGTATATTACTGAAACTCTAAATTGATATAATTTTAAAATTTGGGTTTTTTCAAACGAGTAAATTCGAAGAAGTTTCTTCAGTCAACATTGTTAGAGTCTTAACTAATTCAATATTTTTATACTATTGAATTGATTTGAGAGATTCGATAAGTACTTGCTCCAATGTTTTTGAACCTAAAAAAATGTTTGGATTTCATAAAAAGTTTACAACGATAAAACAAAAACAAAAAACTATAAACTCTTGCCAGATAAAACTAACTATATTTTTATGTTCTCTACAAAGTTTCTCTTTCGCTACAAGATTGCCAAAATCCAAATCTAATTCTCTAATAACAAATAGAACAAACTTTTTCTACATCCTTCTTTGCAATTTTCAGTTTATACATTCTCCTTTGCAACTTTCAGTTTATAAGTACATCTTTGCAGCTTTCAGTTTATACGTACATCTTTGTAACTTTCAGTTTAAAAGTACATTTTAAAATATCTAAAAATAATATATATATATATATATATATATATATATATATATATATATATATATATATATATATGTGTGTATATATATATATATATATATATATATATATATATATATATATATACATATATGGGGCTCCCCCTCCCCCTCGTAACAAATCGCCTACCCCTCTCCCTCTCCCTAAGCGTGACGTAATTTATGGACGACCCCTATATATTATTAATAATTTTTATTGGGTTTTTAAATTTGGTTAAAATAGGAGAAAAAAATAAAAAAATAAGGCAGAAAGAGTATGCACCCATAATCCTAAAAATCAATCAGGACAGTTTAGTGAATTTATATATATATTTTTTTATTTATTTTTGTACAAAATTACTTCTTCACAGTGTGCTTGAGTAGAACTTTAAAGCGATTCAAAGGAGTGATACGAGTGCATCGTTGTTGTTGCTGTTTTGAAAATTTTTATTTATTTTTCCATCATTTTAAACATGAAGTTTTTTTTTTTTTTTGTTTTTTTATCCTCTTTTTTTTATATATAAATGTTAAGGATACTTTATAAGAATACCTAAATATTGTTAATATATAAATGTTAAGGATACTTTATAAGAATACCTAAATATTGTTAATCTGTCTGTTACACGGCGATCTATAAGTAACAGGCCGTGACACGCAAAACTTAGAAAAATATGTGGGGGCCGATATTTCAAAAATCAATATGATAATTGTTTTAAAACAAAATATGTTGCTCCCGTTATATAAAGCATTAAACTATGTAAAAATTTGTATAGTTTATAAATCTTTTTAAGTTTTTAACAATAAACTTTATTTAATTGTTTCAATTCATAAAATTGCTTAAATAATGAAATAAAAAAGTTTTATATCAGGTAAAAAACAAAAGTTAAATAAATTACTGTTCGGGTAACTGCACCTTTAAATAGGAATATATTTTAGTGATTTAAATAAATAAGGAATACTTTTAAAATCATAAAAAAGAAACTTTAAATCAATAAATAAATTTCAATAAAGAAATAACAGCATAAGTGTCAATAAATATCTGTCAACTTAACAAGACAACTTTAAAATTTTCAGAGACGGTTCTTTGTTGGATCTTGGTGTGGAAAGTTTGCAGTGGTTTTTGATAAAA